TGCTGGGTATGTATGTAATGTAATGTAAAAAAATCAGTCAGTGTCATTCCCCTTACTCTTGTGTTACCCGCCATTTATTAGATAAAGATGAGGCGACCACTCAACTGTCAGCTATCTCGTTCTAAAGTTTCTACATACACATGTTTTTAACACGGGAGAGATAAAAACGCGCAGTATATTCTTACTATTAATTTTATTTATTTATTCATTTAGCCAGGCGAGTCGCTTTCTTGCGCACGCGTGTTCAAGTGTAGCATCAGTGCAGTGTCAAATTAGGATTTATGTGAATCTTGTAGGAGCCCTAATTTGATGTTTCTACAGGAGTTACAATCTTTAAGAGATAAATGTGCCATTCCATATTTGTGTAATATGAATCCAAATGTTGCTGAAAGAATCATTAAAAGAACTATATGGAAGACATAAGAAGCATCAAAATAGGCTTCCTACAGGACCTACGTAAATTCTAATTTGATACTGTACTGATGCTTGAACGCGCATGCGTCAGAAAGCGGCTTTCCTAGCAATACGGGGCGGGGCAATTTCGTAACATTCATAAAAAAGAAAGTTGAAAAAGAAGAGGAGCACAGAAGAATGCGGACACATATAGGAGCCAGGAGCTGAATCAATCGACGACACGACATAAGTATTGATAATTTGTCTCTTACATTAACTTTTTGGTAATTCTTCAGTTTAGCTTGAATTTCATTACCTGTCGAATCACCGGCTTCAACAATTAATATCTCGCTTCGCGGAGTAGAACGATACTTTTTTCTGCCAGGGTCTACAATTGTTTCGTGTAAAAACGCGTCGAAAGAGCTTAATCTCGTTGATTTTTGTGCTGGTGTAGCTAAACTGCAGAATTACCATTACTTTGTTAATAAACTAACAGGAAAATTCTTCAGGGACGCCAGCAGTAATTAACAACATCAAGTTTTGTTGACCGCAATTTTTATGTTTAAACATCGCTACGTTTCGACCATGGGTTTTGGTCCTTTTCAAGTGATCTGAAATAGTCATATAAATAGACTCGCGTGTATTTTGGTGATGTAAAAAGGATTGTCATGTATAATCGCATAATGCTATGAGAATTTTGTGTCGGATTTTGCTACACGAGAACATTACTTGCGAGAACATTACTGCAGTCATGCTCCGTCATCTCTCAAGTAATGTACTCCGATAGAGTGGACCTACTCTGCTGTGAAGACTGGTGGTTTATACAAGGCCGTAACCCCGTAACCGTGAACTTATGCCGTAATCAGTAAAAATTGCCCAATCACCGTTAAAAGTAAGGGGAATAGTTGACTGCTTCGATAGTTCGATAGTGCTACATTTTAATGATACATCTCATATGCGCACATGTGTAATTGTTAATAAAAAAATAACATTAGTTTTAGGTTTAAAACTTTATTGTATACATATATACATACGAACATATATACATATACATATACATACATACATATAAAATATATGTGTATATGTATAATAAAATTTTCCCTCATTTTTTCATAAAATTATGGCCATTTTTTGTAATATATTTATCACCACTACGCAAAGAGTTTATTTCAGAAATGTAAGCCATCTCCAAATCAGATTTGTTTAAAACAATCCAAGTAAAATTGTTAATATCAGGTATAAAATGTGCTTCAAAATGTTCATTAAGAAAAAATTCTTTATTTTCTTTGTTACAAGCGCGTAATCATCTTTCTCTTTTATAATTAAAAAATTATGTGGATATTGATGCCTTCATCATTAAATGTAACAACAATAACATTCTGTTTAATAATGTTTTCATAATATTTTAAGTGGCAGTAAATTTGTAATTCTGTATTTTGTATTAGGTAAAATAGTATTAGATAATACTAATTACAGTCTTCGCAATAATCAATGTGTTTAAGTCAAAGAAGACGGATTAGGGCAATGTGAGCCAGTACCAGGTATTAGATTTCGGTATTAGATAAAAGTATTAGATAAAACGTGTATGAGATTTGATATGTTATCAATATCCTCTCTGACATCAAACTTGTGCGAACACGTCGCGCTACTGTTACTTGTCACATCATTCCAACTCATTGCACCAGTGTGCACTAGTTCATGAGTGCAGCAATAAAAAACAGACCCCTAGTGTTGCGTTCTACAGTAACGATTTTGAACTCGTATTTCTGAGCTCGCGCGACAAAACGAATGCTGGTGATCAACAGTAATGGTTACGCACATTACTCAATAATAAAATTGTTCAGTAATCATATTTTCTTTAATACAATATTGCTTACAACCTTAGTCGTTAGATGGTACTTTATAGCATTTGCGTATTAAGATTAAAAGTTGAGACTGAGCAAAAATTCAGGGATTATTACTGTTTTTCGATTATTAGTGATGTGAAATGTGTTTATATCAATTTCCTTATCGTATATTATTTTTAGAAATAACTGCGCAAGTCACATTAAGCCGCGCTCACGTAACTGCTTATCGCACTATCTGTGAGGATGTGACCAACATTGCTCCATAATAATTTAATTGGTGAGTTTATTTAAGCGATTAAACTTATCGAAATCATTCAGTTGGTAAGAACAAATTGTATTTAGCTCCTCAGGTAGCACGTGAAACTGAGTTACAAGGGAGAGATTGAAGAAGACAACTGGAAGAAACTTTATAAATTGACAACGGATAACACGAGAGATTCTGTCGAAGATGGGCTGCTTGATTTGCTGTACAACCGCGTTGATAATATCCCTCAGCCTCCTCTACGCATACGCCAAGTACAGGCTGTCCTACTGGAGTAGACGCGGGGTGAAAAGCCCGCCTACGCATGTGCTCTTTGGCAATTTCAAGGACTGCATCACCCTGAAGAAGTCGCCGTCTGATGTGATGCGCGAGATCTACAACAGCGTCGACCCGGACGAGCCCTACGTCGGCTTCTACATCTTCCACAAGCCCATGCTGTTGATGCGAGACCGCGAGCTGATCAAGCAGATGATGATCAAGGACTTCGACGTCTTCCCGAACCGGCGATTCGGTTCGGGCAGCGAGAGGGACTCGGTGGGCCTCGACAGTATCCTGTCCATGAAGCAGCCCAGATGGAGATACGTGAGGACCAAGCTGACCCCGGTCCTGACCGGGCAGAAACTGAAGGCCATGATACCACTGATGCTGGAGTGCGGGAAGTTCATGACAGATTTCATCGAGAAACTGCCGGTGGACGAGACCGGTCGCAGCAAGTGGGAAGTGAAGGATATCGGCGGCCGTTACTCCACCAACGTACTGGCCTCACTCGCGTTCGGCGTCAATATAAATTCGTTCGACGAAAAGGAGACTGCCTTCTGGAAAAACGGTGCGACCACGCGCCGACCTGTTGCGAATCAGAACATTTTTTATTTCTCCCTGAATAATCGTAGATGTTTAAAACAGAAGCATATAATGTATTTATATCTGTTATATATTTATGCATGTAGGGTTATAAATTACGTATTTTCAGGCACAACGATCTTCAATGGTTTTATGCGCGGCATCGTATTCATTATTCTCTTCTTCATTCCCGACTGGGACTTCTTAGTCGCGCCAATCATTAAAAAACCGGCGAATTATCTTCGCAAGATTTTCTGGGAGTCTATGAACGCTAGAGAAAAGCTGGAGTTAGAAAGAGGAGACATGATAGATTCCATGCTGGCGTTAAAAAATGGAGAACAAAATCCCCTTTACAGTAAAGATCGCACCTGTAAAATTTCAACAGTGCACAATCATTACGTGATTTGTAATACAACTCTGTTGTTATTATTATCATGAATTTCAATATAATGTCTATTGCACCGAGATTATAAATGATTAAGAGAATTATGGAAGCTTATTGGTCGTTTAACGTTGCAGAGTTCGAGGATGACAATTTACTGGCACATCCCACCAGTTTTTACATCGCCGGATTCGAAGCGTCCGCGACCGCGCTCGCCTTTACTCTGTACAATCTGGCGCGTCATCCGGAACACCAGGACACTTTGTACAACGCGATACAGACAGAGCTGTCAGGAAAAGAATTTACCGAGGATCTGATCAATAAGTTACCTTTTTTGGACAGTGTTATAACTGAATCGCTGCGATTACACCCTCCTCTACCCGTCATTGATAGAATAGCCACGAGGAATTACGAGGTGAGTGACACGTCATATGTGCCTGAGCCAATTCCTCCACATGTTTTCTCAGCTTCCTTAACTACTATTTATGTGTTTTTTAAATTATTCTTAGTTGCCAGACACTGGATTAACAATTGAGAAAGGTGTTTCAGTGTATATCTCTATAAATGCGTTCAATCAGGACCCCAAATACTTTTCCGATCCGCAAAACTTTATTCCGTTGAGAGCAAAGATGGAAGACAAAAAGTTTTACGAAAATTTAGCATTCGGTATCGGGCCACGTTCATGCATAGGTAAGTCGTAAAATATTGATTCGAAAAATACGTCATTTTTTTTCTTTTCTCTTATATGCGCATATTATTGCAAATTTATATTAAATTTTAGGGCAGAGATTGGCCATGTTAATTGAAAAAATAGCGTTAATTGCTATTGTCTCCAATTACACCATGTCTCTCCTCCCTCGCGAAGAAAATACTTTAAACAACAGCGCTATCCACGTATTCACATATGTGGTCGATGGTCTGCACGTGCGATTTGAGAAACGCAATTAGGTCCCAACTTAAAATTAGTAGCTAAAGATATCAAGTGTCATCTAATTTAGTACTTACAAAAGTAAAATAAAGAAGATAACGAAAAACACGCAACGTTAGCACAAGGTCGTATATTTACAAATTGTATAACAGAATATATCTCTTTAAATAGTGTAATACCTTATATTCGCGGAAATTAATTTATCATTACGCAGATGTATTTTATACGAATGAAAGATGTACGATTTTTATACTCAGGTAACTATGCATTATATAAAATAACCGTCGGTGATGAATTTTAACAGTAGGTCATGTATTTATACTCGTCCGTTATGTATTCTCTCCTAAGAGATGTACTTAATTATATGCTTGATTGAAGGTCGCGATTCCCCGTTTGCACAATTTTATGCAAAAAATATCGCGGAAAAATTAAATTAGATTATATTAGATTACATCGCATACTAATACACTCTCAGAAGAGAAATATCTTTAATGTACTCTTGCGCACATATTATGTACTATACCGCTACATATATCGTTTTGCGAGGGCAACAGTCTTGTACTGTTAACGTTTAATAGAGAGAGATAGATCCCAGAGGATGGTTTTGAACATTGTATTCGCACGTCCCATGCATTTGCTATTACGTGTCGCGATATAATTTAAAGTTTCGTTTCGTGTTTCACTCGCGTTCTGAGTAATTGATTCGGTCGCAGGACACCATGGGAATTGTTCGAGTAACAATTGTTAGACGCGCCGCACTCCATATTAGGACCAGCGGCGTCGTTCTCCTCGTATACGTGACGCCTCTGCAAGATCTCGTCATAGTTATGACCGTGATTGGTTTGCATCTGCGCCTCCGAGTCCGTCTCGTCCTCGTTATCAGCACTATCTACGTCGCCTAAAAGAAATAACTGTCAGCATTAATAAAAGTGTAGTCCAAAATTGATCAATTTCAACTGTCTCATAAACATTTCCGTTACGCAGTATAGACGATTAACAAATGAACGAGAAAACTCACCGTCAGAACTATTAGTGGACGGCAGGTAAAAGCGCGAGGAAGATATCTTATTATTTCCCGCGCGGCGTTCCCTCGCGGCGCTGTTAGGATTGTACTTAAACTCGCGGGGCAGCGTGTAACTCCTGGGTAACGAGACTTGGCTGCCCTCCATGTCGCTGACCTCCGCCTCCCCGTCGCCCTTGCCCTTGGAACTCTCTTCGACGCCATTCTGATTCGCGTGCAATCTGAAGAAATGGAATTTGAGTCAGTCGACTCATCCGGACTCGATCGTCCAGACGTTCGAGAGCGAGCTCTGTTTACCTGTGACCGAGGTGTCCAGGCGGTGACCAATGGGGATAATGGTGCGGAAGGCATCGCGGCGCCAGTAATATCTCCGGCGTGTCCGCGCGCTCCCGTTGAGGCGCCGCCCTCCATGGATTCGAGGGATGCGAGTTGGGGTAGTACGGGGAGGAGGGCGGCGGTGGTAAGAGGCAGTGCATCTTCACGGGTGGCCAGGACGATAACGCGCTACCGCCATTCTGCTCGAAGAACGACGGCGGGGATGTGAATAGCGGGGAACTCGGGGAGGTGTGCAACTTGGTATTCGGCGGTGGTTGCTGATTAGACGCTGAGGGTGATGACGAGAATGACGATGTGGAGGCGGAAGGGGGTGGGAACAACTTGCCCTCCTTGATCTCCTCCTGTATCGCTCGCAGTTCGCGCAGCTGCTGTTGCTTCTTCTCCTTCAGTTTCTCGCGTATTAACGTGACGTTCAGCGAACCACCGATCGCCATGTCAGTCTCATTTTTGCGCCCGTTAGAACCGTCGTTCTGCATCGAGAGATAATTACATTGTGACAACAGTCATATTGCACACGGGGAGAATTTTCTCTTAAAATTTATCCTGAAGAATCGTGTAATCGTTGGGACGACGCGGCGTTCTGAAGAATTTTATGAGAGTTTTTGAAATTTTACCATACACTTTGTGAATTTTAGGGTGAATTTTAAGAAAAAATTATCTCCGTGCAGCGACTAGCAAATAGATTTGTCGCAGACTCGTCTACCTGCATTATATTGGAGGACACGGGCTTCTTCCAAAACGGAATTAATTGCCGCGATCCGTTGCCCATGTTGAGCCACTGTTTCGAGTCGCCTATCGCCGCTATGGAATTCATCACCGTGGCCGTCTGCGATTGCGGCGGCGGCGGTGGTACGAAGCTGGTCGGCTTCTTCTTCTTGCGATTCGGATTCACGACCGTCGGATTCGCGAAACGGCAATTGAACACACCCGGTATACCGCCGTTACTTAATTTAACCTTCCTCATGCCGATGCTGATGTTGACCTTCTTCCCCTCGTTATAATCTATTTGCTTCTCTTCCGCGTTGTCCTGAAAGTAGGAAACATTGCGTGACGATGCTTCCGAGAAGCGAGATCCGTCTCGCGTCATACCTGATTGGACAGCGTGGTGAGATTCGAACCAGTCATTCTGCCACCAGCCTCGTACCTCAACCTTCTCACGTGAAAAAATCTGCAACGAGAGAGGAGAGATGTAACGCGACCGTCGATATGAAATTAATAAAACTGAACGAAACGTCGCGCTTACCTATAATAAAGACCCATGAAAAACATGCCACCGAAAAATAAAGCTAGTAGAATAAGCACTAGAGTAACTGGGTGTAGATGATGCTGGTGGGGCAAAAGGTCGGCACGATTAATACCAGCTATCCACACGCCAATGAGTAGACTGTTCTCCAAGAACATAACAGTGTAAAATATCACCTGAGAGGGCAGAAATTACACATTAACGCGACATAGATTGCCTCTCGGATGTAATAATTCTCAGTGCCCTTGCGCTACTGACCATTTTCTGACGATGATTCGTTTCGTGTAGATTAACGTATGCGAATATATATACAAAGGCGAGGAGGGAAGCGAGGAAAGTCTTCCTGAGAAGAGGGAGACGCTCGCCGCCGTGGAAGAGTCCGTCCGGCGTGAGCAGCAGCCACGTCAGCATCGACAGCCAGTGGAGGGCCATCACGATCAGCAGCCACTGCCCGCCGTACAGCGACGCGTACACGACCAGCGCTCCGACGCGGGCGCTCACCGTCCCCAAACGCCAGAATAATTGCGCCAGCACGCCCAACCATGTTAGCACCAAACGCTCCAGATTACGCAGACGCGCGGCACCCTTGCTGAAGCTGGCGACCGCCCAACACACGCTCCACAGAGAGAGTCCCGCCGACACCAGGGTCAGCTCCTTCAGTTTGCTGCCGTCCTTGCCGTCGCTCTCCTTCAGTTTCCCGGCCTCTGTCTCAGCACCGTCGGTAGCGCCGAACAAGACGTACAGCTGCAGAAGTAGCATCGGAGCGGCCTCACAGAACGCGTGTATCAGCCGTAATACACAGAGCTCCCGTACCTGCGACGATGAGACTAACGTGAAACGACAGAGAGAGAGAGAGAGACGGCGAATGGGACGTTCTCTTCTCCCCAACTACATACCTCGTGCTTCACAAAAGTTAAATTGACTGGGATAAATAATTTGAAGTATCTCCATAGTACACCGACTTGCGTGGAGTGGAGTAACAGAACACAGCCTACGGTCCAGTTGCCAATCCTCTTCACTGGACTTACGTGACAGTTGCTTGACCCGCTGTTTGTTAATTTACCTCTAGCTCCCCAGAGGTACCATCGCAAGCTAACGATCTACGATTATGTAGTACACATTGTTATGGTAAAATAGCAAGTTTAAAGGTAATGCAGGATCCGTTCCTTCAGATACAAACCTGAGAAATTAATAGGGAAGTCGCTATAAAAGTGATGCTCAATGGAAACAATATGGGTGGTGCTGTGGCTTGTTGGGCGAGGGCATACACCATGGCAAAATCGAAGACAACATCGCAGAAGTAGGATGCTAATGAAATAATATTGAACAGTACGTCACACAGGGGCAAAAATTCATGCTGATGTTGTGGCTGATGACACTGGGCCATAATGGGCTTTTATTGCCCATTTGGAATATTTGGCAATTTTTTTTTAGTTCACTTTTATCATTCTATACTCTCCCCTTCCTGTAAGTAAAATATTACATATCATTAAATTGCATAATAATTAAATAATAAATGAAAAAGGAAACATAATATATATTTTTTTAATTTTTGAGTAAAATTAATTTCCTTCAAACGGGAAAACATTAATTCCAATCAGAGAAGATAAACTAAGAATAAAAAGATTTAGATATTTTTATATTGTTCTTTTATCTTGGCGCTATTTTTCACTTTAAATTTTATAATGCTCTTCTTTTGACATTGCTCTCTTCACACAATTTAATCTCACAAAACACTCTTCTTAAACAAGTGAATTAAAAAATTAACGTGTCTCCTAATAAATTCTGAATACATAAAACCGAAAGAATTGTCCTTTACAGTCGGAAACGTAAGAGAAATTACCAGCAGGAATTTCGCGCCTGGACGGCTATAAACAAGTCACGACGTACGATGTCACAGGCGGACTCATTTGTCCGTTATGCGCCGGGGTCAGGCCGAAATTGTCGCTCTCGCGCGGCGTCGCGGGATCCGCGTTTGCCCTGCGCCGCATTCAAAAACGCACACCCCTCGCTCTCGCTCGCTCGACGTCGCGAAGACGCGCACGGACGGATTTTTTAAAGGCCAGCGCAACAACGCGGCGGACGCGCAACAATGTCGGCGCGTATAGCGCGCAGCGTGGGATCGCGCGCTCGCTCAGCGCATTCCGCGCGTGTCATTGACGAGAACGGCGATCACAAAAATCACTCTCCCGATCCGGACGCCGCCGCCGTCGCCGCCGCCGCCGCCACCGCCACCACCACCGCCGCTCGCGGGGAAGCTGGATCAGCGGCGTTGGTATGCGCGGAATTTGCCGCGGAGCACACGTTTGGAGAACGCGCGTTTCCACCTGGAGCGCCGCTCCCTCCTCCTCCTCGCTGGCCGCTACTCGGCCGCCGCTGCTCGTTTGCCGTGCCCTAAGACTCGCCGTCGTCGTCGTGGCGTATCGCGCTGCTCCGCGCGCCGCATCTTTCGCGGGGGAAATCCACGGCAAATCCCGGCGCCAGGGCGAGAGAACGCGCGCACGAGAACGTCGTCCCACGCATACCGATCCGCCGATCTACCTGTTGATTCAGTGCAATTCAATGCGGCTGTCTCACGCGTACAATACCGCTCGCTCGCTCGCTCTCTCGGCCTCTCTCTCTCTCTCTCTCCTCTCTCCACCTCTCATCTTCTCTTTCTCCTTTTCTCGCTCGCATACAATCGCAGCCGCTTTACAAACACCTGGCGCCGCCGGTGAGGAACGCGAGAGCGAGCCTCACCTTAGGCGGCCTGTACCCGGCTCCTCCGTCAGATTTTTTCCGGTTATTCTTCCTCCCGCGTACCGATCGCCTCGATACCCACGAGCGCTAAATGCGAGTTCGGGGGGGCTTCGCTCCAACGCACGATCTTGCACGGCGTGCGCACGTGTGATTTTCAACGAGAGCAAAAATCCACGAAGATTAAACAGTTATTGATACACTTACGAAAATACGGAGTAATATATTTTTTTTTCTTGTATACATCTGACAACGTTCGCATATATACGCGTATGATATGTACAAGCCTGTACGTTGTAAAAATTTTGTGCCATTGCCACTGCCCCTATGTACATAGCTTGGAGTCGCCGCGCGCATACGTTATATAAAAATCTTATATTAACATCTTATGATACAAAACGATTTGTCACAATTCAATAGAAAAGCAAATCTCGAAAAAGTACGTTGTATATACCTAGCGTTTTATCGTTTGTGCGACTCTTATTAATATATAAATCATTAGCACGTTGCAGTCTCTCTTGCAGGCAATTAAAGAATAATCTCGTTCTTGTAGTTCCGCGTGAGTTCCTTATGCGGTAGAACGATCGAGTTGAGCAGAATCTTTTCCGCGGCCAGGCTGACGCTGGTACCTGAAATGCAATACACGCGCAATCGCCACGTGATGCTAGACGGAAATAGTGTAGAAACATTGTCGCGCTTTACCGAGTATCGCGATGGACGGGTTCAGCTTGCCGTTGGCGTGAAACAGCGGCGGATTCTCCATTTTCGCAAACGGTTTATTGGGATTGGGATCGCACGGAGTCCCCTCGACGCGAGCCCACTCGCCCACGCTGGTGCCCGTTCCTATGATGCTGTACAGAATGAGAGAGTGGGCCTGTATGTGTGCGTTGGCCAGCACGATTGACTCTCTGATCCTCACGCCAGGCTCGATCTTCGTTTTCGGGCCGATGCTCACATTTGGACCCAGCTACGGGGAACAGAAATTTCATATCAATGAGAGCAGGTTTGACGAGGCCAGCGAGGCCAACCCTGCTTAAAATATTAGATAGAATACAATGGGGATTACATGCAATAAAAGTCTTATTAATTTACATTGAAGTTGCGTGCAATCTAACGTAATCGCATCGTATTCTATTACTTTAAACAGAGAATTTATCTGTACGCAGTTCATACCACGGAGGTCGGATGCACGCTGGCCGACGGATGAATGTACACGTCGCCTATAATGTAACAGCGATTGCTGCTCGTGGAGGCGAGGCGGTCCGGTTGCTTCTGCTTGTGGAGGGCCAGGTAATGCCGGTTGGCGTAGATTGCGGAGCCCGCGGTCTTCACCTGCGACCACCAGCGGAGCACAGGCAACGCGAACAGCCGGCCGGTTCCCGCCAGTCGCGTCAGTATGTCCTGCTCGAACGCGATGTGCGCCGGATCCCTCCCGTTGCCGCACAATTGCCTGCGGTTCCGCGGCAGAAAGAAGAATGAATGTTCCCGTTCTCTTATCGCGTTGCGGGGCGAATTTACGTCAAGCTTACATTATGTGATCTTGCTGCTGGTTGGCGTGAAAGACGTCCGCCATCGTTTGGAAGATCTCCAGGGACGCGAGGTATATTCCGCAATTGATGAGGGTCGACACGAACGTCGAGGGCTTCTCCACGTAGTGCGCCACCTCGCCCTCCTTCCCCAGGACCATGCATCCGTAGTTCAACGATTGCTGCCGAGTCGCCTCCGTCGCCATGATCGTGAGCAGCGCCCGCCCGCTGCGGTGGAACTCCACCATCTCCTGCAGCGGGAAGTCGGCGCAGACGTCCCCGTTCATGATGAAGAAGCACGCCGGGTCGCCCGAGCGGATCTGATCGCGGAAGTGGTACATGCCGCCCGCCGTTCCAAGCGGCGTGAACTCCTGCAGGTAACGAATGACTATGCCGTAGGTACTCGACATCTCCAGCACGAACTGCTCCAGGCCGTTCTTGGGATACGCCCCGATTATCAGCACCTCGTTGAGACCGGGCACTTTGGTGCAGGCCTCGATGTGGTGCTGTATCATGGGCAGTCCGGCCACCGGGAACAGCGGCTTCGGGATGTCCAGGGACAGGGGTCTGAATCTAGTCCCTGCGAGGTGAGACAAACTTGGTAAATCGACGAATCTGCCGGGAACTTTCCACTTGGCGACACACGTCGACGCAACAGTCTTTCTGTCTTTTCTCAACAATAATGAATGAACAAAAATAGAACTAGCTAAATGAAATCTATGTTGGGAGCTTTCCTGTTTAGCGACACATGTCGTCGCAAGCGCCACTCCAGCTTTGTTGTTCATTATTGTTGAGAAGAGACCTGTGCCGCTAAATGGAAGGCTCCATTAAAGTTTTGATCGAAGACGTATCCAAGTAGAGCAATGGATGGCATCAAAGTGATGTTGAGATGACAAATAAAGTCGTCGCGAGTTTTATGTTCTACCTGGTGGACTGTAGATGTCGCGTAAATAATAAATTAACAATCTACCGATGAGTGAAGACGTGGCATATAAACATCAACGTTAAAAGTATCAGCTGTATCTCAAAAAGATGATAAAAATGCAAATTCAAACTATGTGTAACTTCGACGTCAACATAGATTCCACAAATCTCGATTTCAGTCATTTTATAAATGAACGACCAGCACGAACCCTTCAATGGTCCCCCGATCAAGATAACGGCCTTCAACATGATCAGCGCGGGTCGAACGTCCCTCTCGAGCGAACGGCTCCGAAATATCCTCGCGAGAAGCGGCGATCGCCCGAGCCCTCCGAGACAGCGAGGGAGACTAACGAGTGGCCGCACCACGCAGACATGTTGCGTACACGTGTGGACGTGTCATCGATGACGATATCGGTGTACGGGGGTTTCGATGAATCGACTCGGCGACACGCGGCGGGCGTATCGCGCAAGCGGCTCGTCAGGAGAGGCGACTCCTCCCCTCGGGCTGAGCCGCGCTTGGCGAGCAATCGGCGGACGCTGCCGCATCCCGGGGAAACTCGCCTTCCACCAGGCAACCCCCGCGTCGTAGGTTACATCAGCCGTCAGTCGAAAACTCCGGGACGCCCTGCCTCGTACCTCGAGCGGCCTCGAGCAACTCGCGCGAAGGAACGAGCCGCTTTCCCCCCTCGGCAAGTCCGTTCGAACGGCGATCAGCTGACGCGGCGAACGCCCCGCGCAAGGTGCCGCTCTCATACGTCCATTTCTACCAATGATTGTTACCTTTGATGTGCGGGATGGATGTATTATATGTACGGCCAATGCTGCGCTTTCGTGAAATTTTAATTTGACATTTTTCATAACGCAACGTGACAAGTTATTTGCAATTTGTTCGCTCACTCGTTTGAGGGTCAGTCGCACAAATGTCGGTTAACTTACTGTCTTTTTCTATCTTTTTAGGAGATTAATTATTTGATAAAATCTAATAAAAATAAAAGAGATTAAAAGGATAAGTTGCACAGCAGAACGTTTTCATACTTAAGGCCCGGTTTCATCAAACATCGCTCAACTTTAATCTTAGTTTAATTCATGTTTGCCCCTTTCGAAAGTAACAGCTGGAAAAAGACAAAGAACGAAGTAAGCTAAGCTTAACGTTGAACAACGTCGGCGAAACTGTGTCTAAAACACTCAGTTCTGAAGTCTAATAATAAAGAATTAAATTGGTATTAGAAATTTTCAACTTTTTACTCGTGAGCAATTTGAAGTGGGCTTTATAAACTTGCAAACTTCTTCCGCACGAGTAAAGTACGCGTGAAAACAAAGCCGGGGGTGCACGACTTTATACAAAAACCGAAGAAAAATTAAAAATACCACCATGTGAAGCCGTCACCTAACCTAACCACAATTGCGAATCACGGAATAACACGAGAAAGAGAGAGAGAGAGAGGAAAGTGTAGACAACCGACGCGCCATGTTGTTGACACGCGAGAATCGTCCAATGGCGGCACGCGAGCTGGCAGCGCTAGGGGAATTCACCTGGGGAATTATCTTTCATCGCGTGGCGGTCGGGGGAGGGGGAAAAAGTTTGTTCCCCGCAGCTGAACTTTCTTCGTGCACTCTTCGCTCCTTCACCCCGCGCTGTCCAATTACATATACACACAAATGCGCTCGTTGCGTTTCGAGTGCAGGAAGTGCGAGCAAGCGCACCGAGTGCACGAAGCCCGGCCCGCAGATGCAAGGAACGGAAAGAAGGATAAAGAAAGGCGAGTGAACGCGAGAAAAAGCCACGGCGAGGAGGCCGAGGCGAATCGCTCGCGGCGCGCGAAAACTCCCCCGCGCCGCCCGGCGGCGAAGGGCGCCGCGCCGGACGACGCGCAGACGGCGCAGGGAGGGGGGCAGGGCGAGGAGGGCGCGCGCGATCAACTTCGGTTCGGTGTAGTTCGGTTCGGTGTGGCCGTGCGCATTCGAGCGAGGGCCAGCGCAGCGCGCCGACGGCAGCGTAAAACGCTCGCGTCGCCGCCGCCGCTGCCGCCGACGACGAGCGATTGACTCTCTGTGTCCGCGAGACTCGGTACGCCGCGGCCGGGGGGGGAGAAGTGCGAGGCGAGATCGCGCGTACGTAAAACAAGTGCGTGCGTGCGTGCGTGCGTGCCGTGCGTCTGCGTCGCGTAAATTCGCGCTCGGGCGAGAAAGAAAGAGGGAGCGACGGAAACGGCGAGATCGACGAGGAAAGGGGAGAGGAGTGCGAAGGAAGAAACGGGGAAGAGAGAGAGAGACACGCACACATACGCGCACGCTTGTGGCGCGTCGCGACGAAGCGCAACATCGCTCGGAGAGGAAACGGCCGAAGTTCGGAACGAACGACGGTCGGTCGGACGGGCGGACGGGGACGAGACGAGACGAGAGACGCGACACGACGCGACGTGACGGCGAGAACGGCGTCGCGAGCCCGCTCCACCGTTGTCGCTCGTCCGAGTCGCGGCCTCGAGAGTAGCGTTGCCAGTCGCGCTCGCCCGCTCCCGCCTCCCGCCGCCCGACGCATCGGGGTTGTCGCCGCCGCCGCCGCCACCAGGGTTGTCGCCAAGGACGGAGCACTGCGTGCTGACCACCTGCCAGGAAGCATGGAAATATCCAAGAGCCTGCACGAGGAGATCGTCACCGTGCAACAGAAACTGCAGAGAGCGATACTCGAGCATCAGGTGAGAAAAGGAGAGCGAGAGTGTGCGCGCGAGGGAGACAGAGAGAGAGAGAGAGAGAGATTGAGATTGCGATGCTGCGTGTGCGATAGCGATCGAGGGACGGACCGTGGAGGGCGAAGGGGGAGGAAGGCACGGCAAGCAAGTCCGTCGCCGCTTCCTCCTCCTCCTCCTCCTTCACCACCTTCTCCTCCGCCTCCTCGCGACACGCTTATCCTTGGAAATTGGCGGGGAAGCTTTTATTTTTCTCCCCGCGCACGAGGACTCACGGCCGGCCCCCCCGAGTCGCGAAGCTCCCTCCGAGTCGATACGATAGATCGATCGTTCGAGATGCAACTCGAACGATAGATCCGCCAAGCATTTCGCGGACAACTTAAGCATGCGCGCGCGCTCGCGCGTGCACGTGAAGAATTTCCAGAAATTTCGCGAACCGGAAGGTAGTTTGCGGTAACAAAGGGCGAGGGACGGGAAGGAAAGCGAGTACGAAAGTCGAAAGTTCCATTTATGGCCGTCTCTCCGCGCCCTCTTTCCGTCTTCCTTCCTTCTGCCCGGTTCTCTCCCTCTCTTTCTCTTCGTCTCTCTTCCTCTTCACGCGCCTCGCTCGCTCGCCGAAGGTGGCCGAGAAATTCGTCGCGGGAGGCTCGAGTTGCCGGCGTTCTCGCGAGCGATTTAATCGCTCCCGTCTACCGCGAACTTGTTGATCGCTTCGCGCGGAAGGCGCGACGGCCGCCGACGCGGAGAGTCTCTCCCCCGAGGACGTCCCCGCGTGCCACCATCTTTATAAATATATCGATAACCTCGTGGATTCCTTTGTGCCGCCGCGCCGAGGCCGCCCGGCGCGAAAACGACTCCCTCCCGCCGTCTCCCCCGGCAGGGGAACAAAGAGGATTTTCTTCCTCATCGATATCGGGAGCCCCGAAAGTTTGGCGCGCTCGCGTCCGTTCGATTCGCGAGGCGACGCTCCACGGCGAGCAATCGATATACCTTCTGAATTATCCGGCCGCCGCGCTTCTCTCTTCCGCGAAGCTGAGAGCAATTCTTTCCACGCAGCCGCGCGCGTTCGGCAAACTTTCGCCTCGCTTTTCCTAGGCTCAGCCGACTCGCGACTCGTCTCGTCAACCCTTTCCTCCGCCGTCAACTCGTGTACAGTCTACGTTTTCATTGACGAATTAATTCGATACTCGTCAAGTTTTCCACTTTTCACGAGTTCACGCCAGAAGAAAAGATCCACGCACGAGTCTTGCGGACAACTTGGGCGCGCGCGTGCACGTGAAGAATTTTTCAGAAATTTTGAGAACCGGAAGGTAGTTCGCGGTAACAAAGGGCGAAGGTCGCCCTGGCCGTAGGCCGGTATTCATAGTCAAATTTTATGGTTCCAGTTAAGATCGACTAAACTGATCCATTGTTATTTATTATTGGCAACCTAAAGAGATTATCATGGTCAAATTTCATATTCAAGACCGCCATAAGATCACCTGCAGATACTCCATAGCTAAGGAAATATTCCATGCAGCATCTTTAGATAAATTTAAGACGGTCTTGAATATAAGATCCGACTACGAATACCGATCATGATGTAACTAGTAGGTCCCTTGCCTGGTTGGTATTGACCTTGCACGGTCAATAATAGAGGAAAGTCCCCATTATGGAATAAGATCCTAATATGGGATAGCGGGGTATCTGCTAAATTAACAGGCATCGTCAGTTGATTCCGCCGTGAATTTATTGCCCTTGGGGCGAAATCTGTTTAGTGGAAAACTCATTGTTTGATTGTGTAGTGGTTGCGAAAAAAGACTTGTGATTGAATTTGGGTGTTGAAAACCTGCTATCTTATATTAGAAACCTATCTCGTAATAGAGGACTTCCATCTACTGATCATTAAGGGGATGCTGGAGTGATTCTACACTTTTGGCACCTTTTGCTCCTAGAACCGTCAGTTCGCGAAAACATTTGTGAAATTTACAAATTATGTGACTTTTCTGTACAGACCAATAGTGTCCCGTTATTCAATTTAAGTGAAAGAACAGCATGGTATCATTGAAATTAAGTTTAGGAGCTTAACAAGAAGTCTATTCACTCGAATAAGTTATAGGTTAAGGTAACCTATAACTTATTTGAGTGAATAGATTTTTTGTTAAACCCCTAAACTTAATTTCAATAATACCATGCTCTTCTTTCACTTAAATTGAATAATGGGACACTGTCGGTTCGTACACAAAAGCCACATAATTTGTATATTTCACAAGTGTTTTCGCGAATTGACGGTTCTAGGAGCAAAAGGTGCCAAAAGTGCAGAATCGCTCCAGCATCCCCTTAATATGGAATCTGTTGAATAAGTGATACCGACAGTACGCATGTTTAGCCAGCTTTTTTATCTCGCTTTACTTTGGGGGCAATTCGAAGCCATTCGAGGAAAACGAGAGGCGTGCGGTGTTACTATCGATATCCCGAATACCACAGGGCCGACACTGATGCTCGAGAATCCGGACCACCGTCAATATCTCACATCAATGGTCTAGTTTACACCGTGCACTTGACACGCGTATCAATTAGTAACAAATAGTAAATAACTAGTAAAGTGGTTTAGTCATTGGCTGATCAGTTCAAATGCACCGTTTGATACGCGTATCAAGTGCGCGATGTGAACTAGGCCATTATTAACCACGCGCGATCAACAATATCGTCAGCGTTTGTTAATATTGGCCGTGTAAGGTGTCTATTAAAGGGGCAAAATCGCGCGAGCCCTTTATCTAATTCCCTCGCTCTCGACGGGGGACGACGCGCGTCGCGATTTATGTAACCGAAGTTCGCGTATCTCGCTGGTGGGAGACGGACGCGAGTCGATACTCGCGCCGGGAAGCCTTCCGCGCGGTCGTCCGAGTCCGCGCTCGATTCGCTTTTACCGCGAGAACACTTTTACGTTGACAAGGTCGCTCGCTCCTTTTGCGCGCGTCGCGCCGCGGCGAGTCCCGTCGAGGAATCGCTCGTCAATAATCGCGACGAGACGGAAAAGATGATCGTCCTCCCTCCCTCGGAACGATGCAGGTCGCGGTTAACGAGCGGAACTCTTGTTGCTCTCGATGGAATCATATTTCCGCGATTACCTTCTGCGAAAGCGCGATCATCTTTTCACTTACCGTCGATGTAGTTGAGAATAGTACACGTAACCGCATCGGTCTTGCAATTAGTTCCTTAATAGCATAGTGCATTGGCTCAACATTGGCCCAATGTAATCAAACATTGGGCCAATGTTTAACCAAGGTTTGGTCAATGCACCGTACTATTAGGATTAGACGGGGTGGTGCGCCAAGTTTTATCCCCGTTTAAGGAAGGTGTTCCTGCGAGGTCATTCGGAGCAGGGGGTCAATTCTGTATCTTGCAACATAGTGAAAATGCTGAAAGTGAACGGCTTTTGTCTCTTTCTAACGGGACGGTTATAGCGTTTTCGA